ATGCACCAAGAGCTTGTAACACTCCAAAGAGAAAGGAAAATTTTAAATTGCATCATATGACCCCTTTAAGGCAAGATTAAAAACAATGGGAAGCACACATTTCTTCAAAAGCCTTACTAAGGGCATTAGTAGTGTCCTATTAAAATGCCTTTAAACCCTCAGTTAAAATGTACTGTAGGGCAATATAAAAGTGACTTATTGTGTGAACTCTGTGTTGTGTGCCTATAATTCAAATGAAAAACCATGAGCCATGATTGTTTGTTTGTTTATAACTTAGCACCATTTCAGCTTCATGGCAAGAGACTATAGAAAAATAAATATATATATAAATATATAATAAATATTATACATAGGCTATATATACACTGGGTATCTAAACAAAAACAATATTTATATTGTTGTTTAACAATATTAATAAATAAAATCTAGTCCATTGAATATTAATAAAATTTGACTTGAACAAAACAATTATGACTTTTCACACTTGGCAAGAATCCACAACCACTTTCCTAAATGCTCATAGTTCATTAATCTGTCTTGTTACTCCATCAGTTAGGCCTAAATTTCTTTGTGACATACACTTTTGGACCAGATAACAAATTTTCCTAATGGGAGCTCTTGTAATTGGCTTGATTGTGGGTCAAATTACACCTAATCACAGGTGGGTCAAGGTTGAGAGTTAAAATACAAGGGTTAAAAGCCACTTGTTGGATTAAAACAAGAGAGAGAGAAATAAATAAAAAATCCTTCTTACTTTCAGTACGCCTGCCTGTCATGACATCAATTAACACACAAATCTAGCCTTACGTGAAGGGAGGGGTTGATGTTTGGGAATAGACTAGTGTTAATAGATCAATGAGCGTTACAAAACGGATTGCGTGTATAACGAGCGTCACAGACACACGTTTACGCACAACAGGCTAAATGAACACGTGAAATGCTGTCTAACCTGTCAGAAAAGTGAATGGATTCGATGAGAGAGAGAGTGGTTCACTTTAAAGCAGCTCTCAATGACTTGTGTATCGGTGCGTTGTCGCCATCTTCTGCCAGTTCTGTTTGTTACCGACCTCACCGGAGCATCACATCAGACCGCCGGTGGGCGAGTCCCGGGTGTGTCTGTCTGCCTGCCTGCGTTCAGGAGAGCACGCTAACAACACCGAGTAGGTAGGGAAATAAAATGCTGGGGAATCGAAAGCCGTGACATCTTCACCACTAGACACTTGTTGTTGTTGTTTTTTTTTTTGCTTTTGGAGGAGGACTGAAGCATGAAGAAACATCACAGCCCCGCGAAGGGACCACTGGAAGTCACCGTACCAGACACCGAGGCGACCATTGAACAACTCAACAAGCTGCTGTCCAACGGCAGCGGTTTTTACAGCCTCCCAGCACAACATTTCAACGAGGTCTTTCCCAGGATTTACATCGGCAATGCGTAAGTTCTGCGATTTTATGGCGACTTGCGTGCTTCTGATGGCAGGAAAACAATGACAGGAAGCTGCTTTCAAATGCTGGATAAATGTGTTGGTTGTGGCACAGGCTATCCGTATAACGGATAGGTAAATAAACCCTTTCAGTGAATATTAACTGAATCTTTTACAGTGTTCAGGTGCAAAACAACAAACCTGTGAATGGAGCATGCAGCTCTCCGCCTACGAGAACAACCACGAAGCCACAGGAGATTTTGCTAACGTTTAAACAGTGAGTCAGTTTGAGTCGGACTGCAAGAGAAGCTGGTTTTCTCCACGACCGTCCTCTATCGGTACCATCTCGCTATCTCGAGATCACTGGTTACAAAATCGCTTCAGTTCGACCTCAGTCACGTGTTTCTTTGTATTAAACCGTTACTATTACACATTAATTGCATATTTCCTCTATTATACAACGATAAAACAACCTCAAGGGGGTTAAACTAGTAAGTTGTTTTCACGATGCGCTGATTAAAATCCCTGTTGATTCAACAGCACCATTCTTGAAGCAGTTTATGACTTTTAAATCATGTGCTAAAAAATATGTATTTGTGTAATTGTGACAAGTCTGTTTGCATTTGCTGTTTTGAGCTAATCCAGAAGTCTATAAAGGCAGTCAGATTACATTAGCCTACTTATTTTCATATTTCAAAATTTGCATCAGGTTCATCATTACATAGCCTAGTTAGTGATTTGTTCCTGGAATAGCCTACATTTTTAAAGTAACATGCACGGACATATTGCTTTTACATATAAATTGTTTTTGGTGCAGTAAACTAAAAGTATAATAATGTTTTTTTCATTTGAGTGGTACTGGTAGTAATTTGCGGGAAATTCGAGCATGCTGCTGTGTCATTATGTCACGTCTGTAAACATAAAGAAGTTGTAAATTATATTCCAGTTTTATATGTGCATCTGATTACAGATAGCATACGTGGGATTACACAAGATTTGTATTTTAAAGAGAACAATAATGAGAGAACAAGTTCGAAGGAAGAATAATTTGCCTTTCTTTATATAAGAATTTCTTTATATGAATGGTATGACAATTAGAGATTAGACTGTACAGAAATTGAAATCTACACGCTAATACACACTATACTCATAGTCACGCAATGCTGATGTTGTTAACTAACAATTTGAGAAAAATATAATAATAATAATAATTTGCACGGTTTGATGTGATTTGAGCTAGGTGATTGTTAGATTTAATCACCATTGGTAGCGCGATTTATTGTAATGCTTTTTCCTTCAGTTGGTCAGAACAAAAGTGGCAGACTTGTTACTTGTTCAGATGACAATATCCGGTGAAAATGCTTATTTGGGTCATATATTCCAAGACATAGGCTAGAATCTGTGATTCCGACGTACAGTATCCACTCCGGTGCGTTGACTGACAGCCACACATTCACCTCAAAACATTAGATTCATCCACGCTGGAGCCGTGCTGACGCACAACCCACGCAAGGAAGATAATTGCGCAAATAACGGCAATTGCAGGTTTTGCAGGTTGCAGGTGCGACAAAGAGGCAAAACTTACGGACTGCAGCTTTAAATAAGTAAAATCAGTAATCAGTATCTAATACATTATGGAACGTATTTTAAGAACTGTATAAATTAGAAAGTTTGGATCGAATTCTAAATCAAATGGCCGTTGAGTGCATCTAATCAAAATAATCGTTCAGAATTAAAACAAACTGCTTTAGAATCACTCCAGTGATTCTTAAATTCAAATCAGTTTGCTGTCAAAGATTCATATTCTGTCACTGCACTTAGGCTATACTAAAGGTGTGTTGCTCAGAGATGGTTTTGAAAAACCTGAGATAGATCTAAGATACTGAGAAACAAAATCAGTCATCATGACAACAGTATGATTAGTTCTCTAAAATATTTGTTTCCCAGGTAGTTTGTGGCTAATATGAATGATAAAAAGGAGAAATATTTAATGTTTTTTTTTTTTCTGGCTAGGTTTATAAACTGTTCAATATTTGGCCATTTTGAGTTTATCATCATTAGCTAATAATCATGCCTGATTGGCATAACTGGCAGATCTTCCATTGTGTTATTTCAAACATGCTGTTGAGTGAATAATGCACAATTTTGGTTTTCAAATATTTTAAGCGGATATCAAGTAAATATCCCATTAAAATATTTATGAAATTTCAGAGTACAGCTTCTATCTTGGTGGGGTCTGGTGACACTCCAGTATCTGACACAATGTGCCCAACGTACCGGACTTGGGATTGACAGAACTGGCACTTATCAATAGATACCTTCAGCCCACACTCACTCAGATGGTCTAAGACTTTCAACAGTCTCTCTTCATGTTCTTCCAGTGTGCGGCCGAACACAATGATGTCATCGAGGTATACAAGGACTTGGAGGAGGTGCATGTCACCCACGGCTTTCTCCATAAGCCGCTGAAATGTGGCTGGAGCTCCAGTAATTCCTTGCGGCATCCGCTCAACCTGGAAGAATCCCAGGGGACAGATGAATGGGGTTTTTCCCTTATCCTCCTCTGCCATGGCGATTTGATAGTATCCACTGCGAAGGTCCAGTACGGAAAACCATTTGCTTCCCACCAAGCAGTCCAGGGCATCATCGATCCGTGGTGTGGTGTACTGATCAGGGATTGTACGAGCGTTTAGAGTACGATAGTCGATGCACATCCTTATGGCCCCGCTCTTCTTCTGGGCTACCACAATGGGCGATGCATATGGACTTCTCGACTCTTTAATGATTCCAGCTGTTAACAACTCTTTAATGTGACGTCGTACATCCTCGATATCAGCTGGTGCAATGCGCCTGGAGCATTCTCTGAATGGCTTGTTGTCTCGCAGCCTGATGTGATGCTCGACCCCACTGGCTAACCCAACGTCCCACTCATTGATGGAAAACACATCTCCTCTGGTAGACAACTTCTGACGCAGTCTCCGTTCCCAGGCCTCAGTGTGTACTTGATTAACTATACTTGTGACTGTAATCACTTAAATAGAAAATAATTATGACTAGTGAGGATAGTTTGGCGCGTGATGTCAGTCACATAATTTTATGCTCAAATTGATTTGTTGTTACAAAGATAGTGAATCTTTAGATTAGAATCCAAAGATAGTGTGCTTGTTCTATAGTTATCCAATACAATGGTGCTTATGTAAGCTGATTTATTAAGAAATAAATGATACCAGGGAACAGTCACTCATATACAGTATATAATTTATCTCCAACTGGTGTGTTTATGAAAGTAGAGGGAGATTTGACCCAGAAATGAAGTACACACACGCACACATACAAATCTCATGTAATAAAAAAATCACATAAAATGACGTTTCACTGTTCAAACGTGCCATCCGCTCCTGTTTCCCTTGCCACCGCAAACCAAGCCGCTTCTCTTTTTATGCGATTTTTGTAATCTTTTAAAGTTGTGTTGTATAAAGCAGGATGATGCGACACTGCTAAAATGAGCGATTCCTCCATTTCTGTACCGAGAGGTCACTTTGTGAGGTTTTGGTCTTCTATTGGTCTCACGCATTCACGTGACTCGAATTCGCAGGTCAGAGTTCACCAAACTTGAACTTTTCTACGCAGCGAAATATCTTCGCACGGGCTTGCGTTTCTGGTTTGACACATTCGCGTGCATATGAATGGAAGTCAATGGAACGAAAAGTCTAGTGTGACCACGGCTTTAAACGTGTAATTTTATGTGATTTTTTTATTACATGAGATTTGTATGTGTGCGTGTGTGTTGATTAACTATACTTGTGACTGATTGTAATCACTTAAATAGAAAATAATTATGACTAGTGAGGATATTTTGGCGCGTGATGTCATATCCTGCTCCCGCTCCTTTTCGCAGCACCGTCTGAACGAATTTCGCATGCTAAACGTCTAGTGTGACCACGGCTCAGTCTGTGCTACAAATAGCAGCAGGAATTTACATATGGTCATTTGTAGATATTGACAAAACATTTTCACTGAGCTGCTAATGTCTGTATTAGCAGACAATTACAGACTGCTAATACAGACATTACAGACAAGCCTTGTCTGTCGCTTCCAGATTTATTTATATTCAATTCTAATATGATGGACTGGTAGATATATAGATAGATACTATCCTATCCTATACTAATATACTATACTAGTATCTATCTATCTATCTATCTATCTATCTATCCTGTGTCTATCATCTAGATTTAAACAAATACACTTTATATACAATTACACCTTGCACAACAAATTCTGCTGTTTTTTTTACACAATATGCACAGTATGCACAAAAGAGTACTTACTGCACTTGTATTATATTGCACAAAGTATTATATTAGGACTGATATTGCAAAAGAATTATGTTTGAAATGAGATGATCCCATCCATAATTGCCCAGATAAGATTGAATGTCCACACTGTGTTCAGCACGCACTGCACCGTTTTGTTCGTTCACATTCTTGCCAATACTACAGAGCACATTAATAAACTAAGTGCAGATATAAGAGTGTGCCAAACCTTTGGGATTATTATTCAGTTAGTGTTATGACTGTAGGATATGATCTAAACGATACTGTCTTTAGTAATACAAATTCATTATGATTATACTGTATATAATAGACAAAATCCTAGAATTTTGCTATACTCGATTTGGACCATTTACCGTATGTAAAGGTGCAGTATGGGGCAATGGGCTGCTTTCTTCATAGCACACCTCTCTTTGTAAGACTTACATTAATAGTGCATGTGAAGGGATTGCAGTGAACAGAGTGCAGGACAGGTGAACAAGATGCAAAGCAAACACTTTCTCTCTCTGTCTCACTCTCTCTCTCTCTCTCTCTCTCTCTCTCTCTCTCTCTCTCTCTCTCTCTC